TAGACTGCAACGCACGTGCCGCCTGTACCCGAATAGAATCATCAGAGGATTGGGTAAATTGAGTCACAAGCAAGCAGCAACACTCACAGGACTCAGGGTCGAAAGTATTACCGACCCAACAGGCAGCGTGGCAGAGGCAAAAACAATGAGGGTCACCCTGAGACAAGGGGACCGAGCAACCCTCAAACTCGCACACAGCGAGTGGGGACTCCGGGGTCACATCCATCGGACCCACGCGCCCCCTAGGGGATTCCCAGGGTCCTAAGCGTTTACTTTAAGAGGACTCGCGCTCAGGTAGTCCCAGGCAGGGTGCTGCAAACCGGCGCCCAAAACTACCAAGCAAACTTCTAAAGCTGAACCCCAGGGACGTGTACACTCACGGGGACCTAGCAGGGGGCGCCACCGAGGAGAACAGTGGAAGGGCAAAACAAACTGAATAAAATGACAGAACCCCCCACCAGGCAAAAACAAAAAGAAAAACAAAACCCCGCAAGAGGACAGCGAACCCCAAGGAACAGAGCCGGCCGCGATGTCGGGAAGTACAAGCTGAGCAGCACCCTGCGCCCCTACCAGTGCAAACTGCCTCTTACCTGCCGGTAACAAGGGAGAACAGAACACCCAAGAGCCCAACAGGCGGCCGAAAAACCGAAAGGTAAAACGGACCAGCAGAGGCAGACCCCGAGGAGCCTGTGGAAGGTGGCCCCAAGCCCCAAGGGCAGTACTTACAGGGCACCTAGGGAAGGCAGCCCTAGGCGCATGCAGCCCGAGTACTGAAGATAACTCCTGGCTCTCGCACCCACAAAACTAACACCACACTCAAAGCACAGTGCAGTAGCGACACCGGAGCCAGAGCACACGACCATCGCCTATAGCATCAGCCTCAAGAACTGAGGTGTGGGTAGCCGGCGCGGGGGGTCTGGGGCTCCCCCTTCCCCCTCCCGGGGAGGGGGGAGCTGCGCAGACAGCGGCGCGGCAGTGTGTGACGTCACACTAATTTGCTTGTTTTCGGTTGGGGAGTTCTATCCACTAGTTCGGTATTAGGTAGCAATTTTAACCAGAATAGGGGTTTGTTTTGGGGCGCTTACCTTTCTGGGTGCCTGTTCCGGTCGATGGCAGACATAGAATGCTTCCAACTACACGGGGGCTTCTATAGGCCATTGCTCCCCTTGCCTCTCTGAGGGGGCCCGGTTCTGGCCGTGGTCCCCGGTAGGCCTAAGAACTCCATACACATGACTGATGCCAAAGTCTGACATTAGCATATCAGCCTGGGATAGCTCCGGGGAGCCGACGGGGCTCCCCCCAGAAATCAGAGGATACAACTGACGATTTACTATAAAACCAGAAAAACGGCCAGCCTACTCATGAGAAACTCTCCAGACACAAAACAGAACGCTTTAAGAGAGACTAACGTCGTCTATGCCTTCAAATGCCCTCTTGGGGACTGTAAGCTCCAAAAAACCCAGTATATAGGCAAGACAACAACATCTCTTTCTAGGCGTTTAACGATGCATAAGCAACAGGGCTCCATTAAGGAACATATAATCTCTTCCCACAACCAAACCATCGCCAGAGAAATCCTAGTAAACAACACAGAAATCATCGATAGATACAGCGATAGCAGGCGGCTTGACATTTGCGAGGCACTACACATCAAGAAGTCAACACCAGCAATCAACAGCCAATTATTGCACAACTATATTCTACCCACCTCAAGACTCCGCTCCAATATAGAAGCATCAAGAAATATGGACCAATAGGCTTTCTACAAACACTTCTATTCAATATCCATTGTTTCGTGTTCTGTCTTGTGTTGATGAAATTAATACCCTATTAATACTCTTGTTCTGTCTTGTGTTGATGAAATTAATACCCTATTAATACCACATCTTGTTCTGTCTTGTGTTAATGCCACATCACCCCTTCCACCTCACTCAAATGTAGATATAAAATCGGAGATGCGTAAGTTCTATTCAGTTGTGTATTTGTGAACTAAAGTCTTTGAAAATGTAATAAGTTTTACGAAACGCGCTCGTGTCGCGTCAGACTAGAAATAAAAATGAATTTTGGAGAATTGATTTTTTATTTACCTCCAACAGTGAAACGAAATGTACGAAAGATTGAGAAAATTCGTGTTAGAATTATTAATCTTACTTTTTTGGTCATATTTAATAATATATGTCTACAGGAAAGACTGCTACCAAAATATACTAATATTAATATTATATATATATATATATATATATATATATATATATATATATATATATATATATATATATATATATATATATATATATATATATATATATATATATATATATATATATATATATATATATATATATGTCGTACCTAATAGCCAGAACGCACTTCTCAGCCTACTATTCAAGACCCGATTTGCCTAATAAGCCAAGTTTTCATGAATTAATGTTTTTTCGTCTACCTAACCTACCTAACCTAACCTAACCTAGCTTTTTTTGGCTACTTAACCTAACCTTACCTATAAATATAGGTTAGGTTAGGTTAGGTAGGGCTGGTTAGGTTCGGTCATATATCTACGTTAATTTTAACTCCAATAAAAAAAATTAACCTCATACATAGAGAAAAGGGTTGCTTTATCATTTCATAAGAAAAAAATTATAGTAAATATATTAATTCAGGAAAACTTGGCTTATTAGGCAAATCGGGCCTTGAATAGTAGGCTGAGAAGTGAGTTCTGGCTACTAGGTACGACATATATATATATATATATATATATTTGCATATATATATATATATATATATATATATATATATATATATATATATATATATTTGCATATATATATATATATATATATATATATATATATATATATATATATATATATATATATATATATATTTGCATATATATATATATATATATATATATATATATATATATATATATATATATATATATATGTGTCGTACCTAGTAGCCAGAACGCACTTCTCAGCCTACTATGCAAGGCCCGATTTGCCTAATAAGCCAAGTTTTACTGAATTAATATATTTTCTCAAATTTTTTTCTTATGAAATGATAAAGCTACCAATTTCATTATGTATGCGGTAAAAAATTTTGTATTGGAGTTAAAATTAACGTAGATATATGACCGAACCTAACCCACCCTACCTAACCTAACCTAACCTATCTTTATCGGTTAGGTTAGGTTAGGTAGCCGAAAAAGTTAGGTTAGGTTAGGTAGTCGAAAAACAATTAATTTATGATAACTTGGCTTATTAGGCAAATCGGGCCTTGCATAGTAGGCCGTGAAGTGCGTTCTGGCTACAAGGTACGACATATATATATATATGACCGAACCTAACCCACCCTACCTAACCTAACCTAACCTAACCTATCTTTATCGGTTAGGTTAGGTTAGGTAGCCGAAAAAGTTAGGTTAGGTTAGGTAGTCGAAAAACAATTAATTTATGATAACTTGGCTTATTAGGCAAATCGGGCCTTGCATAGTAGGCCGTGAAGTGCGTTCTGGCTACAAGGTACGACATATATATATATATATATATATATATATATATATATATATATATATATATATATATATATATATATATATATATATATATATATATAATTTTAATGCAAAATATTTAAATAATAAAATTTAATTAATGAAAAAGTCCTCCTCTTCTTTAATAGGTCTATTATCACAAAGCTTTACTGCACATATGATTTTAAATTGGAAAAGGTACTGGCACAAAATTAATACAAAGTACAAATGAAGACTTAATATACACTACAAAAGGTATTTCAGCTATATCCAAGGGAGCTACCAAGGGAAATCTATAAATGCTTAGAAAAATCACTTCATAACAAAACAAATGGTGCTTGAACATTTTGCATGTGAATATTATAAAAGGGGAAAGGAGAACTAGAAAAAAGTTAAGGCACACCATCTCTGACTGAAGACCTGCAACCGCAGCATTAATTTAGATTTGCTTGCAATATTAACCCTAATATATTAAGTGCTACTATTATTAAGTGATAATACAAGTCACTATTAAGTAATCTTTAAGTGATACAGTATTACTTTACAGAAGACAATCTCTATATCTACATACAGTATTTTATATAAACGCCCTTTAAGGCTGATTTCACATTTAAAGAATAATACCAGCTAAAGCCAAAATAAAAGGCAATATAAATTACTGCCTATCATGTAAAGTCTAATCAGTTTAGAACCATGATTAAAATCATAGGCAGAAAATCCATATCCAATCCCTCCAGCTAGCACAGTATTGAAGCAAACTAACTTTACACTCTTGGAAGCCATAATTAATGTAATGTATTTAATAAGAATGCTATGCTACAGTGTTAATTCAATTTTGTTAATACTGAAGCAGGACTAGTAAGTGGTGGATTCATTGTTGTCGAGCAAGGTTCAAGTCCCTTGAGCCAAGACAACTCTGGGAAAGATGATCTTAAGTGCACCCTGCTGGTTAGTCAGACTTGCCACAACCCCATGGTAGCTTCTACCAATCTGAGAAAGGGATGAACATCTGTGTGGGTTGACTGCCCATTTCCTGTATTAGGGATTGAACTTAAGCTGGCAGATCAGTTGTCAGCATTGTGAAAAACTAGCATCATTGTTATGCAACACTGGGCTTTTTTGAGATGTTTTAATCTATTAACAATTTGCATTTGTAACTATATTACAAGGCAAATTAAAAACAAATGCCATAACCAATAAACTTCATTATAACTAACCAGCATTGACTTATGAATGTCAATTAAAATTTCTATGCAATCATGGCAAATGAATTTCTTCAGTAAAGAGGTGTCCATTTTGATACTTTAACATTACTGTATCTTAGATGTTCTTCTAGCAGTATATATAAAAAAAGGATCATAGCAAAATAATATATAATATATATAACTACAAGCTGCTAAGAAGATAAAGGCAGAGGAAGCGAGAGGAAAGCAAGAAGAAAGCAAGAGGCACCCGATCCCCTCACCTGACGTAGCCTCAGGGGGCAAGTTATGTGAGAGAGAGAAGCGTGTAGTCCCAGAAGAAGTAGTTGTGTTGTTGGAAGAAGAAGAAGGTTGAGGGTAGAACACACTATTACTAGAGTCTGTTGATGGGCTTCTTTTGTGGCCCATCCCTCCAAGGCTACCACCCCCTCCACCATTGTTGTTGTTGTGAGCCAGGCCTTGGTGGTAGGCCGAGGGTCCCAGCATAGGGTCAGATGGCGTACGGGAATGGCTGGAGTATTGAGGGAGGTAGAAGGAAGTGTTGTGGGAAACACCAGCAGGGGGTTTAGGTGCTGGTCTCTTCTCTGTCATATTACGAAGTGGCACTAGGGGAGGGGTCACAAGAGGGTAAACAGTTATTGGTCAACACTTTTCGAAGTAAAACTCTTTGTAAATTACAAAAAAAGAACCTTAAAATTCGGGGTTGCACCAGCAATGCACTTACAGAAAAAAGAAATTTGCAATATTATTAATAACTTGACAGCTTGCAAAATTCACGAAAAAATACACCCCACACCTTACTAGTATTCTGTGACAAAAGATTGCCATAAAAAATAAGTGCTCCATGAAAAAACCAGCATTGAATGTAATGAAATGCCATTTTCTGGGTCAGCCCCGGATGCTACCTGAAGCTATCCAAACTGATATAGTGCTATATTAGTTTGGGGTCATCAGTCACAGGAGTCCTTTGGACTCTGAGAGGGGGCCAGAGGGCCTCCTCAGAGAGGCAGAGAGAGTATTGGCCTATGAGCACTTTACATTTAAAGTATGCCATAATTGCCATCGACCAGGAAAAGGCACCCAGAAAGATAGGGGAAACAAAACAGACCACAATCTGGTAAAAATTGTGATCTACATCTGGGAAGAGCAAAAGAACTCTCCCTTATAAAAAAAATAAAAGTATAGCGATGAATGTAATGAAAAGCAATTTTCTGGATGAGACCCGGAGGCTCCCCGGAGCTATCCGGCTGATACAGATGTTTAAGCTTTGGGCATCAGTCAATGTACCTGGAGTTCTAGGCCTATCGGGGACCACAAACCAGAACCTGGCCTCCCTCAGAGAGGCGTGAGGAGCAATGGCCTATACACACACCTTATATATGATTAGGAAGTACTCTATGTCTGCTATCAACTGGGTCAAGCACCCAGAAAGATAGGCGCCCAAAACACACTCCCCCCTCTCCCTTTCTGGTGAATAAATGCTATAAAATGCCGAGCAAGAGGATAGAACTCTCCATGAAGAAAAACGATCAAACGAGCATAATGTCATTTCGTTACCAACGCGCCGCCGTCTGCATACACCCCCCCCTTCCATGGCAGGGGGAAGGGGGAGCCCCAGACCACTCGCTGGCTACCTGAGCCTGTCAGTTCTCAGGCTGGATTTCAAAACATGCAAAAAGAACCGCCGACCGAAGGGAGGGAGGGATGCCGGGGAGCCTCCGGGTCTCACCCAGAAAATGGGGTTTCATTCATTACATTCAACGCTTGTTTTCTGGGGGGAGCCCTTTTAGCTCCCTGGAGCTAACTATCCAAAGACAAGGACAAAAGAGGGACAAACCTGGGAGGCGGAAACCACGCATCAGAAACCTGAAAGCAAGACAACTGGCAACACTATATGACCCCGCAGACGACCCGGGAGACCCGAACCCCTGGATCAGGGATGAAGGGAACCCAAGCAACTCAAAGAGCGTCCAGGGGCTACAGAGGCCACAGCATGCAGGCAATGGCTGAGAGCCACATCCGGACACAAGAAGATGCACCCCCGGCCAAGCCAACCAAGCATCAATGACCCCAGGGACCTCTTCGGATAAAAGCAAGCCCAACCTCGCCAGAAAAGAGGAAACGGATGCAAACGAACAAACTGGACACCAAAACCCAAAGAGCAGAAACTTCAGAGAAACAATCCTGAACCGAAGGAGCCACAACAAATCGAGGGAAAGAGAAGGGAACTCCCAGGCCAAGACGGCTTGGGCAGCGCATGAGCCAGCCAGAGGTGAAACAATGCCTGAGACAGCATGCAAAACAGTGCATTAGAAACAGCAAAACTGAAAGCAAGCCTTAGCGGCTCCGCCAGTGCCGCACAAGACAAGGCGACAGTATGCGGCATAAGATGATGGTCTTGAATAGCCACGAGAAAGGACAAGGCCACTGCAACAAAAAGTGCAGTAAACCCACGGAGAAAAAAAAGAAAAAAGTACCGCCACCAGCAAAACCACATACTGAGGCCGAGACGAAGCATGCAGGTGGGGCACCATCAACAAAGCTACCTGATCACCAAACAGATGGTGATAGACACGAGTCAAAAACAAACGCAAAGAATCGAGGAGAAGACCAAACCAGCCACGTAACAGACCAGACCGAGCATCTGAAAGAGACAAAGCCGTGGGAAAAACCCCTGGTTGCGAACACCAAGCAAGCAGCGCCTGAACCAAGGCTGTCAGGGAACTAGATGGAATCTCAACTACGTCACCAGGAATCCAAACCCCAGCAAGCCGGGAAAGAACCAAATCCCTGGCGAGCAGAACTGCCTCGTCTGGGAGGAACCCCCCAGGATCTCCGAAGGCCCAAGTTAGACTCGGACGACTACTAGAAGAAGCTGCTTACAGAAACTACCCAACCGCAGTAGCCTCAGGGGGCAAGTTATGTGAGAGCTCCGCAAACAGCTACGACAAATGGTGAGAAAAACCAAAGAGCAAGGGTCCAGGAAGAAGCCAACGAGGAAACGAGCACCACTAGTCGACACGCGAAACGTGAAGCGAAAAATTGTGACACTGCATCCTGCAGGAACAGTGGAAACAGCTCTAGCTGTACAGACGACACATGCGCTGCCAATTTATGGAAAAGGAGAACACAGGAGGACATGTACTGCACTAAAATACAAAGAGTTAGTATGTAAAATAAATATAAATAAAAGTCCGCAGCCAGGGCTGTAAACCCTAGCTCCTCTCATCATAATGACAATGAACTGTAGGGAACAGGAGTGGTTGATACGAGATCTACCTACACCTGTCGACGTTTCAACAGAACAACTCGTAATATCATACAAGGAGAAGATGAAAGGACAGAGATCTATAACTGAACACTGGCACTGTACAGGATCAGGGGATTCGAAAAGGTACATAATCGAGCCTAGCACTATTATTAGTACAGCCAATATCACACTAATAAACAGAGCCAGGTGTATAATAGAGGTACGAAGTACGCAAATATGCAATGAAAATTGCATAAATTCAGCCCAAGTACCAGTAACTAGGGACAAGAGGTACATTCAAGATAATGAAGTAACATGATGTAGGTAGCAAGTGGAAAAGTAATATATATGAACTATTACATACACAGAACGATGCCAAGGCATATAAAAGGGGTCAGGCATGGAATGATCCCTGACTGGGGTCAGAGGTCATTCCATGGACCTGACCCCTTTTTATGGACCGGATTTTATTTTGTTGACTGTTACACATTGGGTTCTGCTAGTCAGGAAATTGAAGATCCATCTGCCTATTTTTACAGTAATTTCCTTTGAATGCATTTTATGTGCACCATTTTATATGACACCATGGTCATATTTGACAAAGACTTTTGTGAAATCTGTGTAAATTACATCAGCGTTTTGTTTGTCTTCCATGGCATCTAATGCCATGTTATAGTGGTCCAGCAACTGCGACAGGCAAGAGCGCCCTGTTCTGAAACCATGTTGTCCGAGGTTCTGGAGATGCTGTGATTCCATGTAATTTATGATCTTACTTCTTAGCATTCTCTCAAAGATGTTTATAGTCTGTGATGTTAGTGATATCAGTCTGTAGTTTTTTGCCTCTGCCTTATTTCCTCCTTTATGGAGTGGTGCTATCTTTGCTGATTTTAGTATGTCAGGGATAATGCCAGTATCTATGCTTTGTCTTCAAAGAATGTGAAGGGCCTGCGATAGTGGTGTTTTACAGTTTTTGATGAACATAGAATCCCAAGAATCAGTGCTTGGTGCAGAGTGCATAGCCATACTGTTTACTGCTTCTTCAAAATCCAGTGGGGATTAGGTGACGTCTGATTTATGATTTGATGTTGGTATCATTTCCATGAAAAATTCATTTGGGTTATCAATCTTTAGTGTGTTTAGTGGCTTGCTGAAGACTGAGTCGTACTGCTTCCACAGTATCTCACTCATTTCTTTATTGTCATCGGTGAAAGTTCCATCTCCCTTTCAAAGGGGCCTGATACTAGTTGTGATTTTTTATCTTGATTTTGCATAGGAGAAAATTTTTTTGGATTTCTCTCTATTTCACTGATGGCCTTTTGCTCTCTTTGCTTCTCCTGGGTTTTGTATGATTCTTGTAGCTTCAGTTCAATTGTTTCTATTTCTCTATTTCTCAATCTGCATCTCTTCCTCTTTTTTCCTTAGGGGTATGCGGTTCGAGCATATTTCTAGTGCTACCGAGTTTATTTTTTCCAGGCACTGGTTCAGGTTTGCATTTTCTAGTTGTTCTTCCCAGCTTATTTCTGTGAAATCTTGGTGTATTTGCTCCCAGTTTATCTGTTTATTATTGAAGTTGAATTTGATGAAATCTCCTCCATCGGGAATCGGGACTGGTTGTGAAGGTCTATTCCCCATGCTTGTCAGAACTTCAATTAAGTTGCGATCTGAACAACAGGTATTTGTAATCATTATGTTCCTGATCAATTCATCATTATTGGTGAAAATGAGGTCCAGCATGTTCTCCTTCCTAATTGGTTCTACTATTTGCTGGTTTAAGGCAAATTGCACATCCGTAGCAAGTCATTTGCATGTGCCTGTTCATTGAGGCTACTTCCTGGTATTCTTTCTGATATAACTGTATTAGCCAGGTACTTCCATTTCAGGTGCCGTAGGTTGAAGTCCCCAAGCAGGATGATGATCGGGGCTGGATTTGTGAGGTTTTCCCAAGCAGTGTTCTATTTTCATTAGTGGGTCTTTAAACTGCTGATGATTTGCCCCTGGTGACTTATATACAAAGACAATAACTACATTTAAGATCTCTATTTTGATTATCAGCACTTCCACCATATCATTTGTGGTGTTTAGCAGCTCAGTACAGATGAGTGTTTCTTTGATGTAGAGGCTGACCCCACCCTGTAGCCTGTTTTTCCTGCCACATCTGAAAAGATTGTACTTGGAAATCCATATTTCACCATCATAGTAGTTCTTCGTGTGAGTTTCCGTTAGGGCTGCAAACACTGCATTTGCCTCATGTAGGAGGCCATCTATGAAGTGCACATTGTTAGATTTTGTGTGTTTTTATACCCTGAATGTTGGCAAATAATAATATGTTTGTGGAAGTGCTGGAGGCTTTACTTG